TCCAGTCTCATCTTGAAAACCTCCAGGGATGGTGAATCCACCACCTCCCTGGGCAGCCCATTACAATGCCTGATTACTCTTCCTTGAGGAAGGACTTGCCATCAGCCTAGCATCCAGTGTCTGTTTTTACCACAGATTGTTCTATTAAGTCAATAAAAACAAATGGCTGCTCACAATTGTCACACATCCCTGACCCTCCCCAAGCTGTTGGGATCACCTTCAGTCTGCAGCCTTTGGAGCTGTGACCCAGACAGTCTGGCACTGTTCTCCAAGCCAGCAGAGATGACCTGCATACCAAAGGGGGCTGTTAATGGGAACATTCCTCCCCCAGTGGACAGACCAGATGGATGGACTGCACTAGGAAATAATGTCTCCCATGCTAGACGGTGGGAAAAACGCAAGAAAAAACTTCTTTACTGTGAGAGTAGTTGAACATTGAAACAGGTTGTCAGGAGAGGTTATGGAGTCTCTACCCTTGGAGATAGTCAAAACACAATTGGACGTGATCCTGAGCATTCTCATCAATGCCCTTTTTTTTTTGTGCAGGGACTTTGGACTAGACCATCTCCAAAGTTCCCTTTCCACCTCAACTACTCTGTGATTCTATTCATCCAAAGTGCCCAAGCAGCTTCAGGGAAAGGCACATGGCCATGGCTAAGTGGTGGGAATTGTCTCAGGTGAGCTGATTGCCCATCAGCTGTTTCTGTGATGGGTAAATGCTCTGAAGAAGCCTCACACCAGGTCATCTTCATGCTTGACCCTTAGATGCCGTACCCAGTGCTGTTGTCCCAGACTTGCCTGGCACCGTTTCCTTTGCATAACCAATGAAAACAGCAGAGCATGGAAGGGAAAACAGTCCATTCTGTGCCACTTAGGTAGAAAGTGGGTTACCTGAGAATGAGCTCAGTCAAAAGGTCTCACAGGGAGGCTGCAAAGCAGGTGGGACCCTCATTTGGTACTGTGCAGTCCTGCCCAAAGCATTTCTGTCACAGTGGCTCATCTCCTGAGCTGTGGCTGAAAGGACAGCCAGAGTTGAAACAACTGGAGGATGGAGGTCTTGGGCATGATTTTCATTATGTCTAATTTAGTCTATTAAGCCTTGAAGGCTATGCAGTGTTTGATAAATCAGGTGACAACTGACAAGAATTACATGTAGGATCTTGCATGCTGCTGCAGAGCAAACTGGAGCAGGTAATAGCTGAGGCATAAAGCATCTCAAAGAGACAGACTCCATTTGACTTCTACCAGGCAACTTCTCTGCTAATGAATAATACAAAATCAAGTCCAAGCTACCTATTTTCTGGGGACATAGAGATGTAGGAAAAAACTTGTTTTGAGTGTGTTGCCTTCCGCAGAGCTCTGTGTAAGTGCACCCTGTAAGTCCCTCTAACACTCCAGATGTGTGAAACAATGCTGATATTATTTTAATTCAAGCTGTGCCTGTAAAGGATTTATTTTTATTTTAACATGTCTTATTTCTTTGTAGGCCTAGTCAAAATCGTGTAAAGATCTCCTGTCCCTTTGGAGATGCTGTGTGCCTTCACAGGGACCAGAGGTTGTGCTCAGTGGATGTAGAGAGCAGCTTGTTAGCCTGATGGAAGAAAATGCAGGCTGCTTCTCTGTACCAAGCAGCAGCTCTGGCTGAGCAGCTACCCAGCACAGGCACGTGTGCCACCTTTTTGCCTCAAATGGGGCGACAGGCAATGAATTCTTTTTTAATGACTCTGCCAGTGGGGGACTTCTGTTGTCCAAGGGCGTTGCCACTATTCTGGGCTGGCCTCCCTGGCTGCAACTTAGACGGGTGTAACAGTTTCTGCAACAAGGGCCTGGAAAGAGGGACTGTTTGGAAACCAACCAGGGCAGGATCTAGCATACTTCAGAGCTTGAGGCCATTGCTATAGCATCCGAGAGCCTCCATACGTTCAGAACCTCAAACCCACATGGGCCCCAAGTGACTTTTCAAGGCTCAAGATAAAGGACCTGACTTCTCTCCTAGCCTTTATATTAGCTCTGGAGAATCATTCTATCCTTCGAGTAGATTCTCTGGTTTTGTTTTACTACTTATCAGTTATTAAAAGCAATGGCTGGGCATTTCATGTGGTGAAGGAAAGCATGGGATAATAAACTGGTGACTTTTTTCTGTCAAAACAGTAAAGTTGTGTAGTGTGTCCACAGCTGGAGTTGAAAAGCATAAAGAAATGCAGATTATTTGGCGCTTCCCTGAAATTTTGAAGGCTAAATGCAAGATGCCTTTGTGTTTTTCAGGAGGGGGAGGCCTGAAGCCATAACTGAGCTGTCAAGGTGTGTTGATGGAAAAATGAGTGGACTTGTCCTCAGGAAGGATTTCATCGCGGTGTACCAGTTTGGTCTTATCAGATGCTCAGAGAATCAGAGATTAATTTCTATTAGGAGTGAGGTACAGAGGTCATTTTGTTGAACCCCCTGCTCAAAGCAGCTCTGATTAAGTCAGGTCATTTAAGGTCATGATGTTTAGTAGTGTTTCTGTCAGTTCTGCTAAATACCACTGGAAAGAACACTAATTTCTCAGCTGAAAACTAACACCTGACTGCTGTCTTTTGTCTAAAACCGATGCCCTGGGTTGAGTAACTGGTAGACACCTATGTAAAATACCTCTGCCTCTAAATTCCAAAGATGTCATTGCTGTGGGGCTGTCCAATGGTTTTCTCTGAAGGTGTTCTTTGTCTCTACACCCCTGAGCCTGTGTAAGTATGTAAATATAAACCAAGGTAGTCTATTATTACCATTCTTAGGCAAGCATTCTGTCTGACCGGCTGGGCTGACTTCGCAAGGTTAAACGGAGAGAATGGTCATTACATCTTTTTACACTTTCATTTACAAAATCCTGTGCACCCACATTCTCACATTTCCACCCCATGCTTTGATAGCTAGTTTCCGTACTGCTCCCCTAGTATTAACCAAAAAGGTTAGTAATTGCCTAGCTTAGTGAATAACACCCTAATACCTAACACTTTGCAACTTGGTAATTTATTGTGAGGAAAATTGTTCCTTAATTATTGTATTTTCTTAGCACGTCTGTACCATTGTTCCTGGGGGACAGGTATGTGTAAATTGATTTTACATAATATGATACAGGCAAGTGTATTGCCTTATTTCACACTGTTTTGCAGGACAGTTCATTTTAATGATTAGTTAATTTGAAAACAACAGCAACCTACTTAACGTTTTATTAGGCAGATTGCAACAAATTATTGATTGTAAGAAAATGAAATAATCTTGGGGGGATATCTTTGTAATTCATACTCTGGAGTAACAACAAGAATGTCCATCCTAATGTGCTTTGAAGGTTACCAGTAGTTCATTCATCTGTTGTCCAAGACCTTTCCTCTAGCACTTCTTCCTGAGACCCTTTGCATTTCTTGTTTCAGAGCCCAAGACTTCAGGTAATTTTTGTCTCAAAATACAGCTGTTTGCTAAACCTACTCCTGTAATATGTTTTTTACCTGATCCAGATGGGTAGAGTTGGCCATTGAACTTCTGTGTATACCAGGGAAAATTCTTTGCATCTCACAGGATAAACATTTTGAGGGACAACTTTTCTCAGTGTTTCCCAGTGTAAAAATAGAAAATTAAAACCCACCAAGGAATTCTAAGGTATTTTCTTGACTCCTGCATTTAATTAATTTGTAATTAATCTGTGCTGGAGTTCCTGTGGGGTGTATGGGTTTCGGGGTGGAGAGTGCTTTCCTTTGTACACAGTCTTTTTTGAGTTTTACTACTTTTGAAAAAGAAAATAACAGAGTGGAGGGGGAGGTGGGGGTAGTGGAGGGTCATGCCCAGGGAGGATATTAGATCTTGACCGATACCTGTATATTCAGTCAGTAAAGCCCCAGGTAAGGCAGGTAATATCAACAATGCCCTTTCTACAGGGAGCTAGGAGAAACCAAAAAAACCCCAATTGATTTGATCAATGCAAAGGAAGAAATAATGGTTTGAGAAATAGCAGATGCTGTACATCAGTGATCAGCTTTTCCCACTGACCTCAAAATGGTCTGCCCAGATGCTCTATAATTGTATTGAAGTGCCTGTGAATGGTATGATTAGGTGAAATTTTCTTTTTGCCTTTTTGTTGTTTTTTTCCCCCCTTTCCTCTATGCTGAGGTTGTTTCTGGAAGGTAGTAAGTGCTTCCATAAAAATGACTGAAACCTTGAGACTTCGTTGGATGACCTAATGCTTCAAACTTTGTGGCACAAATACAAGGGCATCAAAAAGCTAGAAACCAGAGGTTTGGTTTCTGGTAGTTTTACTTTTTCGTTTGGGATTTTAGATGCAAGTGCAGATTTTTCTCACTAGCGAATCTCCATTTTTACTCTTTTCCAGCTCTCTCTGAAGAACCATGTTTGTGCTGGGAGAAGGGAATTCCAAGGAGATTGGTGGCCCTTTTCACAGAGTAAGCATTTTCCACAGGCGGGGTTATGCCAACCATTAAATGACTAACATGTAATTAGGAGGCTGGATACTTATAGTTGTCTTGTCCCTGATGCCAAGGGAGTCCAGGACAGCTGTGGATGAGTGAGCACCGAGGCAGATTAGTCTTGGCTGACCAAGCCATTTATGTCCATATTTGTTTTTGTGTTGGCTATCTCAGAAGACAAGTGACTTAGCGTTGTGGACGGTGCGGTGCATTTCCCCTGGGGGTTTTACAGTGAGTGTATGGGAGAAGGTGCAGCCACTCAGAAGAAGGCCTGCTGTAGGGATAAAAGTTGGACAGAAAGGGAGTGCTGGAAAAGGGAAATCTCACGCACTTCCTGTTGCGCTGTAGCGACGAACAAGTCTTGCTTGGGCCGGTTTATCTGCTCAGTCCATCTCTGCCTGGGGAGCTCTTTGATGCGAAGCTGATCTGAAGGTTACAGTCTCCTTATCAACTCCATGCTTACCTCTGTTTGTTTTTATTCTGAAGTTCGTTCCCTCATTTTGCAATAACCCACAAGGTGCTGGGTGTTGCGCCAGCCGTGCCTCAATGAAGGATCTTCATTCAACACCTTTCCCATCCCGTCACACCAGTCGACGTGACTCCTGCGTTTTCCAGCACCATTCGCTGCGCCGTCCAGACATTAGTCAAGCCTTCGTTGGTGGTCAGAAAGGCTACCAGACCTACCGGGACCTACCATGGGATCTTCAAAAGTAGGTGGCATATTTTAATTTGGCAAGTCTAATTTGGAGGTATAAGGGCGGTAAAGGATACTGCCTATGGGAAAGTTTTAGGACTTCAAGGACATATACAGATCTGGAAGAGAAATCTGTTTATTCTCTTACCTGACTTTGGAGCTCATTGCTCTATGTCTGCCTCTTTCACCCTTTTAGACCTAGGGTACATCATGGGTCCATCTGAAATGTGCAGCCTGAAAAGGGGGAATAGATGGAGGAAAGCCAAGCAGTAAATTGCAGGCTGAAAGGGAGTTTGTGGTCTGGGTGAAAAGAGTAACATGTGGCTGGAGTGAGAAATGTGGGGAGAAATCCTTCTCTAGCACAGCCAGGAGCACAGCAATTTGCTGTCTGCTTAGAAAGATGATGTGAGGGCTTAGGTTGACACTTAACCTTTCCTCCCTGTGATCATCATATCCTGCCTCCAGCAGGCTTTTATTGCAGCAGTGCAGAATCCAGGAAGCTCTTTTGTGTCAAAACCAAATGTTAGTAACATGATTTTTGGAAACCATTGATTTTGGTCAGGTCTAGTCGCAATATTATTTCCCCCAAATCCTGCAAAAAATCCCAGTTAAATCAGTGCTAACACCACAACTACATAAGGGGAACACTATAGGGGTTCATCATTCTGGTTTTGATAATTGTATTTTAAGGAAGAAGCCATGATTTTTAGGGAGTAATGACAACATATTTAGTGTCTGAAAGTATTTCGTGCAGTCAGAGATGCTGCGTATCCTTAATTTTGTTTTACTGTAACTATTTAAGACAACACTGGAAAGTTCAGCATATTTTTACAAAAATAAGCCTTCCAGCTGCAATACTCTACTATGCTATCTTGGGTCAGAGCAGGGATTGGGTCACAGAGGTACAGCAAACCTCCTGGAATTTGTTACTTCAGTTTAACACACCAACTTCTGAATTCATGTGGCAATAGGGGATGCTCAACCTCTCATGAGTTTGTTTTTTGTTGTTGCCTCAGCAGTTGATTAAGCTTAAAAGCATGACATCAGAAACAAAATCCAAAAGAATCTTACATATTTTTTTCCATCCTAATGATTTGTCTGGATGTCTGAATTTTCATGTGTGATTGCTAAAGACTACAAAATCAGTCTCCTCTCTGGCATTGCTTTGGACAAATGGCTGTGGATGATTGCAAGATATTGCTACTTTTTTCTATCCTCAGTATTTTTAAAAATTGGGTTTTAAAAATAATTTATCGGCATGCTGAAATAGAAGCATTGTTTCTGAATGGACACAACTTATTCCTCATGCCCACTTAAGTGTTTTCCTAATTTTGTGGGGACAATATCATTTTAGTCAATACAGTGTTGACTTTTGCCAGCAGAAGGATCAAGTTCAGCTTTTGTGCTCCTTAGTGCTCAATATCCAAAGATCCTCTCTCCTGTTTAATATCCATAATTTAACAGTTATGCTGCTCTAACCATCCGGTGAGGAGGAAGTCCCCAACAGTTGTGAATACCAGTTTGTGCATGTTACATAAAGAGAGAAAACTAAGTTAAGAGTTCTCTACCTAACAGAATTGAAAAGCCTTTCTTTACAAGTTAAATGTAAATCCAGTTGCCATTTCTTGTTGATAATAACAGTGTGCTAGAGGGTAGTTAAACAGCATCTGAGTGCACTTTGGTTGCCTCCTAGCTAGGAAAGGATTTAATTGTTTAAATGGTTGTTTAGATTATTATAAAATCTAAAGCACATTAGGAGAAATCTGAGTTTGATAATTAAATATTTACATGTTTGGGAAGGGATGGAAGCTGCCTGGTCTTAATCGAAGCCCCTGTGTAGCCTGTTAGATGTCCAGAGTTCTTTGCAAGGCAGGAATGTGGATCTGAGTGTGGGGCTGTAAGCCTTGTTTGAGCTCACCTTCATCTGCCTTAATCTCATATAAGAGCAGTGTTTCCATACTAGCTTTATCCAGTTCCAAGATGTCTCTTTTCAAAACACTTCGAGTTAAGTTGGAATGTGTGCTCCATAAAACCCTTCAGGAAGCAAAGCTGCTAAAGAAAACTGGGTGGAGTAGGCAGCCTTGCTGGTCTTGTCCCTCCTCTGCTGTCAGTGTCATGCAGTCTGGGAAGCAAACGCAGTATCCTACCCACAACTCCCTTGTGAAGGTCTTGTGCCCTGGCAGGGCGAGGTACAGAGTAGCTGGTGTTGTATATGGCATTCTAAAAGTGAATATGCATGTGGAAATGCAGTGCCACTTGCACCAATTTGTCATGAAGTAGGTGGGCAAAATGAGTGCAAATTACAGAGTGCTGAGGTGTAGCAGGAAATGGATACCATCCCTGCTGCAAGGACACTCATGGGCCATTGGCATTAGTGGGAGTTAACCTTGATTATTGCAGGAGACAGATGTTGTTCCTGCATGGTGCCAAACAGAAACCTATTCTGCCCAGTTTGTCCCGGAGTAGATCCTGAGTTCAGGAAATCCTAGTGAAATACTTTTGACTCTGGCACACACCACACCTGTTTTGATTCATATAGAACCAGTACCGTTTGGGTTTCCGTGCCACAATCACTCAGTTTCTGACTGTTTTAGACAGGAAAATTAGAATGAGACAAGACCACCACCTGAGCCTTAAAATCTACTCATCTTCTTTAACTGAGGAAGCCCCAGTGTAAACCCAGCACCTTTTCTGGCCTCTGCTGCTCCTGTTAGAGGGTGGTTCATAAGTGCTTCACTTTACTGATTTTTTTTCACAGGCAGTTTGATGATTGGACATTTTGAGTCAGTCTGAGCTTTTAAAATCAAGGCATTCTGCTTCCACCACATACTCCTCCTATGTTTGTGTTTCTGATTACATACAGATCTTCACTTTGAATGAAGCCAAGCTAACACAAAGCTTGGTATGGCTTAGTTTGACATGCTTCTGCTACAAGACAATCTCAGAGTTTCATGTGGTCTGTGGACAGATTTGGTGATAACAAGGGAACAGATTTCATGCAGAAATGAATTGTCTCATTTCTCTGCCACTGGAGACTTGTCTGGGGTTTCAATATCAGCTGAACCACTTGTCTAAGGAGCTTTCTCTAATTTCAGTAGCATTTTTCCTATGAAGAACTTGTCTGTCTCTGTTCAGTGAAAATACATTGCTACATTACATCATCTCACTGTTTATCTGCCCAGCTTAGAAACTGTTTGTTATATACTGTGGTTTAACCCCAATCAGCAACTAAGTATCATGCAGCCACTCACACTCCACACACACACACCACACCCCATGGTAAGATGGGGAGCAGATTCAGGGAAAAAAAGGTAAAAACCCTTGGGTTGAGGTAAGAACAGTTTAATAAATGCAATAAAATAAATTAATTATATAATAATAAGAATTATAATGAAAAGAGAGGCTGCAAAAAAAAAAAAAGAAATAAAACTGAAGAAAGACAAATGATGCTCAATACCGTTGCTCACCACCTACTC